TTTTCAGCTCAAATCTCAATCTACCTGATATAAATTATATGACATTTTGCTAATTGGTTATCAACATCGTTACTGATTAGAAGAAAGACAAACTTTGATTATGTGTTTGTCTTCCAGCTGATAACCCAGTCGCTCTGAAAGGTCGGGCGTTTAGTGACAGTTATCCTTAAAGGATTGTGACGAGCCCAGGAACATCCATCTCCGGCACCGCCTTATCACAGCCAGCGTCAGTATCATTTATTCATCGCCTTGACATTTTCTCTTCATCATCGGGCCCTCCCTCCTATTCTTCTGCTGCTTTGTCCAACTTGGGCGACTGAGCGAGAGCGAAAACCCAACACACAAACACAAACACACTGCGGTGCACCAGTCACATTGGCTTCAGTAGTCGCCTCTGAACTCCAGCTCGTGTTCTGTCTCTGCGTCGTGTCTCACCTGTAAGTTCGTCATCTGGAAGCGGTAATTGTGATTGGCAGCTGTTGGCGCCGAGATAATGAGGAGCCGTCGCTTCTCGTAGAACTGGTCCAGAAGCGCGGCAGCAGTCCGCACACCCACGTTGATGTTCATGGCTGCGATGACAATGAATGAACAATTAAGTGACAATATAGAAGGTACGACACACAGAGAATTTTTCACAGCAAAATATACATATATAGAGAGAGAGAGAGAGAAATGACGAGGAGATGCTGAATGATTTTATCATTTTTAACCCATCTGTAAGTGAACTGACATTAATTGCTGCTTTTTCTCTGTCTCATAGATACAGACGTTCGGTTGATGAGAATCCAGAACTGATTTTGATCAGATCGATGGAAAGAAGCAGGGGCCATTTCACTTCACCGGAGCTTCTCACAGGGAAGGCGGTTCAGCACAGGTAGATAAATACTAACCAAGTTTATACAACATATTTCTGTTTAGCGCTAATGCGGCACTAGACACTACATGGAAATTAAATGTGACTGGAAGTGTGGCAAACTTAAGATATCTTGTTCAAGAGGCCAAAATCATGTTTTATCAGGCCTTCACCTTTGACCTTTGACCTTTGACCACACAATCTAATCAATTAATCTGCTCATTTTAGAAGATTTGTGCCAAATTAGAAAAGTTTCTCTTGAGGTGTTCTCAAAGGTTCAGTGTGTAGTATTAGTGACATCTAGAGGTGAAGTTGCATGTTGCAGCTGAATGCTCCTCATCTCACCCTCCCATTCCCAACATGAAACAGAACCTGTGGTGAACTTCAGTTGTCATGGAAACTCAAAAGGTTTTAGTTTGTCCAGTTTGTCCGATAGTAAAAAACATGGTGGCCTCCACAGAAAGGACCCCCCTCCATGTAAATATGAAGTTTTTAGATATAAAGAGCCGTTCTATGGTAAAGAAAACAACAATTCAGACAATTTAGATGAAACACACCATTTAAGATTATTTCATATTCAGTTTCTGCCAAAAATCCCTTTCACCTAAATCTTACACACTGGACCTTTAAGATAACATGTTCATGAGGCACAGTTACTGTCCCCAGTGGTCGGAGGCATGATAAAATAAAATAATAACTTTGACATATCCTTGCAAATATACCCCAATGCTTCAGATGCTTCATCGATCAAACACTCATATTACAAATTTTCAAATAATTAAAGGTTTGAATAAAAGCGTATTTGTGTGTCTGTTTGTGGGTGAGTGTGTGTTCATTGTCATGCAGCATACGTACCTGCACAGGTTGTGTCTGTGCCAGACCAGGTGAGTCCGTACTGACACACTCTGGCAGCGCTGCCCCGCAGCTCGTAGCCACCAGTGCACGTGAACGAACACGTGGCGCCATAGTTGTCTCCATCACTGTCGCACTTCATGTAACCATTGTCAGGGGCAAACAGTGAGCTGCAGCGGCGCACTGAACACAGAGACGCACACGAGACGCATAATGGGAGAAGGGTGATGCAACAAATGCAGAGTAGTTGTTAGTTAATTCAGAGGCCTGCTCTGCTGAAGTCTGTATAACATGGCTGACCTCATTCCAAAACCTGTGACAGACACAGCTGTTTACCTCAGTGTGTTAATCCAGGAAATATCACAGTATCACTCTCTGGTGCTTGTTGGTTCAGGTGCTCATCAAAGCCTGGTGTATATATCACATTATAAAGCCCTGCAGTATGATGGAGGACACAAATTCCACTGAATCCATTAAATCCCTAAACCAGAGGTAATATGGGGATATTTCCCATTAAACAGCTTCACTCCTGAACAGCTGTGCATTTGGTTTTTGTCATAAATTTAACTCGGAATTCAGAACTCTGATTCAAGGGGAAGAAGACACATCGACCACAGATCACTAGTTTACGTCTCTATGAAGCAGAATTATCACATTAATGGAGAAGGAGCAGCTCCGTCACAGCTGAGAGACGAACCCCTGGCCTTCTTTTAACAAAAGAAGCTCCTTCATACCAACGCAAACCAACAGATTCCTGGAAAATTAAAAAAACTAAACAAATAATTTGGGAAAATATAAGAGTTCCCTGATGTTTCCTCGTTCTTGGATTGGTTCATCTGACCTGTGTTAGAGTTTTGCCTTTTTGTGACCTGAGCTGGTTTTTTTGTTTCGCTCCCCTGCGACTAACACTGTGAACTCACTGTTGACCCTGCCCCACACAAACGATCAGATACCATCATTAGAAACTCACCTCGCACTCTGACTGTGAAGCGACAGGATCCTTTGTTCCCTGCTCGGTCAAACACGGTGTAGGACATCTTGTGGAGTGCCTCTGGGAAGTCTGATTTTGAAGGTTTCCCTTTCAGGATAACGCTGCAAAAGAAGAGCTCAGGTTTAATCTTTCACTGTGATCTGGCTGCTTCTAGGTGGAATAACAACCCTGGGGTGAGCACACTGGAGGATAAGCTTAAAGAGGAGTGTAGGAGATAAGACTGACTCTGTGAGGATGCCATCTGCAGTGTCGACACCCTCCGGTGTGTCCCAGGTCACCCTCGCTGTCAGTTTTCCGGGCTCTGCCCACTTATCCTTCACAGTAGGACACTTTATTTTGGGAGGATCAATATCTACAGAGAGAAAGAGAAAACAAATGGTCCATATTGACATGTACATGTGTTACTGCTCTGCAGAGAAGGTGAAAACTTTGGTTCACGAGCCAATCCCAGATGACTGGTCACCAGTGGATCACAGGGTTTATTGATCCAGGGACCAAGAAAGAACATTTCTGGATGGATGTGATTTACAATATTTTTTACTTGTAGATTGTAACTTTTGACAAATGTATTTAAATTAAATTAATTCAATAAATAAGAAAACCTAATATTAGCTGCTCAGTTAATGGCAGTCGTCACCTGTAGCACTATCTAAGATACCAAGGTGAGTTATAAAGACACAGAGACACTGAGAGACAGGTGGATATGAAACATTTCAATTATTTAAGAGATTTGTCCTGATAGTCACGGACTGTTTTTAATGCAATAAAAGAAAAGAAAAATGCATCATCGCTTCAAGGAGAATGAGACTTTACACACAGACAAAGGAGATTCAATGTCATTTCTCAAACAACATCGGTGAGGGTATGCTTGCTGTGTTGCAGTAAGATCTGAAGCTGTGTGTGTTTGTGTGCGTGTGTGTGTCTGTGTGTGTGTGTCTGCTGTGATTGCCCACTGTTACCGAGGCTGCAGGACTATTCAGCCATTTCTATGCTCACCTGAGTGCCTGAGCCTTATCGCTCATCTTTTCACCAAAAACAGTCATTTTCAGTTTCAGCCTCAGGCTCAAAGACGTGAAATACATTCACATTTTCTGCTGGTGTGTGTGTGTGTGTGTGTGTGTGTGTGTGTGTGTGTGTGTGTGTGT